AATACATACACAGTCAAGCATGTAGTTTAAAGCATAGAAATTAAATTGAACCATTAGGGATGGGCACCACACCCCCAATTAGAATTGTATACAAGAAAAGAAAAGCGGGGCTTTAAAAGTGTCCAAACCATACAAGACGTCCATCAAACATACATGGTTTTGTATAAACGTATATTTAATACATACATAAAGACTTGGTTACAATTAAAATGTCATTGACATGATACAATGTTACATTGAAATCAAACTACCTCCTTTTGGTGCCCATACATGTGTATATATATATATATAATTCATTAGTATAACATGGACTCCTTGAGTCCTGATTTCTGTAATAGTTGTATGATCCACTGTGGGCCCCATCTCCGACGCGTTTCGCAGCTGTATGTGCTTCCTCAGGGAGGTTGGAGGTATTCTAGGACATTACATCAAAATAGGTTTAAGTATAATGATCACAGATACCAAATTCTTAATAAGAGTAATAAGAAAATAAAACAACAATACAAAACCCACTTCATGTTCACAAAGATGGCTGGATCTTTGGCCCCACATGCTGTCTCGCAATCACCAAACAGGTGAACAGGTGGGAGGTAACCGGGGATAAACAGGACTGAGAACATGAAAATGAAAATGAAACAAGGTCATAAGTTCCAGATTTACCAAAGAATTTGTTCAGAGGTAGATTTGTGCAAAAATATGCAGAGATATAAACTATCTATGTTAATAGAGGCAGTTGACTGTCCGTAAGTACTGACAGAGGACAACAGGATCCCATTATGATGCATAGATGTTCCCATCTGGTCAATGGTTGTGAGGTGGTGGAGTGCTCTGGGGTCGGACAATGAAAAAGACAGACATCAGGAGAAGGTGTTCTGTCTTTCCTGGAGTGAGCATTCATATAATGAACCACCTCCGCCCATAAGGATTGTATTTGGGGGCACAACCACATAAGGTGTGTCAGGTCTGGGAGAGGAGACTGACATTTCGGGCAAGATGTCAGCCAGTCTGGAGGTCTATGGCTCGCTACGATATTGAAGCCGTAATATGCCCTGCGGATGATTTTAAATTGGATTTCCCTCCAGGCTTCGCTGACTATTGTGCGTCTTAGTTGCATGCAACCAGTTAAAATAATAGAATGTGTGGATTCCAGGGATAGTTGTAAGAATTCGGCCCATTTTTGTACGTAGGTGGGGATTGCAGGGGAGAGAGAAGATGTACAGGAGTATAAATGGTGGTGTATTGAGGAGAGGGGCATCTTCTGGGTTGGGGAGGATAGCAGACGCTGTAGTAGGCCTGAGTTGGGTCCATTCCTAGAAGGGGGGAAATTGTGATCAATTAAGTGTTTAATTTGGGCATGTTGGAGGAAGTTATTCGCCGAGATGTTATATTCGTCTTGGAGTGCCTCTAGGGATTTGCATTGGCCTTGGGCAGTGGTCAAGTCACGTAGAGCATGAATGCCCTGGGTTTTCCATTTATGGAAGACCGGAGAGTCATGGACAGCTGGGAAGGCAGGGGTAGAACTAATCGGCATCAATGGGGAGACCACACCCGGTAATTGAAAAAGCTTTCAAATCTCCCTCCAAGTTATGATAGTATCCCTTAAGAGAATGTTACGTTTGATGTGGGGAGGGAGAAGGGGGAGTGGAGTATGTAGAACACCTGCAAGGGACCACGGGTAAACCAATTGTTGTTCCAGTGTGATATTAGTGAAAAAAGAGGTGTCTAGTAGCCGATCTCAGGCGTGGCGGAAAATGCTGGCTAAATTGTACAATCTAACGTTGGGTATATTTGCGCCTAGTTGAGAGGTAGGGTGTTGCAGTTTAGACAGTGCTGTTCTGGATCTCTTCCCTTTCCATATGAATTGGGAAAAGGCCCTATTAGGGCTGTATTCTTAAACATCAATATTAAAATCCTTGCACAATACATGCGAGGCTGCAGTCACAAAGGCTAATGGGGAGCATCCTCCTGAGACATGCAAAAGAACAAAAAAGACAGCGACTTCTCCTTGTGCATTATTGTTTATTATAATTTGAAAGCAAGAAAGATAAAAGCTACTCGCATATTACAAGTTGCAATGGGCATTGTATAAACAGAGTGCTGCAGCTTTGAAGAAGGGGTGATCGTCCCCAAAACGTGTTAGCCTGGCTGCAGCACTCTGTTTATACAATGCTCATTGCAACTTGCAATATGTGAATAGCTTTTATCTTTCTTGCATTTAATTTTTTAATAAACGATAATGCACAAGGAGAAGGTGCAGTCTTTTTTGTTCTTTTGCATGTCTATTTTAGTTCAGTGACTCAGATACAGGAAGAAACTAGCATTTTCAGAGGAAGGTCAGAAATGTCCATCTTTGTATTACTGTTATAAAAGGTTTCCTTTAAAGACGACTGCGTTATAAAATAACTGTAACTACGTTCTGAACAAACATCAAAGTCTGGTGCGTTTGTAGCAGAGGTTTAATAATATTCACTGATAATTATGTAAAAGAGTAATTGATGCCAAATGTATCTGATGAAGGATTCTGCTATGTTTGGGTCACCAGCTGTTTGGGAATGGAAATCCTTCATCTGTGAAGTGGTGTACCTAAATAGGAATGCAAACAGTGTCCACTAAATCTGAATGTTCAGCCTTTGGTAGGTGCCAGTGGTTTGAACCCACAACCTTTTATATTTATGACAGATCTGGCTCTGGGATTTTTATAGCTCATTTTGCAGATGGATTCTTCAGTTAACTGATGTTATAAAGAATGGAGGAGTTGTTGCCGGTAGAGTGCCTGAGGGATGTACAATAATAAGTCTGTGCAAAAGCTCACCACAGTGACACTCATAACCCATTACTAGTGGACTGACCTTTAAAGGAAACCTGTGCTTAGTGAAATATTCCTCCCTGCTAAAAATTCTAATTGCCTGTCAGTCATGCTGGTCATGTTGTTTCAGTCATTTGAATCACTGACCCAAAACATGTTTACAGATGAGGAATTATATCATTTATTTGACTTCTGTGATTCGCTTGTGCCAGGTCCTTGATTCAGAAAAAATTGCATGCAGTGGGTCAGCATAACCATTTAATAAGCATTTTCAGCAATGGCAGCCCCGTCTTTTTCTCATGAAAGGTTTTTAAAAAGCGACCCCCTGGTACAAAAATTAAACTAGCCAAAAAGATTGTTTCTGTAACAGAAAAGTGTAAATAGTTATCTCTTCTGCTGCCCTCCCCACTGAATGATCCTCTGTTGAAAAGCGATCAGCCTTTAAAATCTGCTCCTTGAAATTTATGTC